TCATTATATGTATTCTGACGTATATTTTTACATGAGATTTTCATAGTATTATTAAGAGCAAAGTATATTTTCGAAAAAGATATAAATACATACCCACATAATCATTTTTAATTGGTAGTTTAGTAAAATTTTATATGTGTTTTCAATAATTGCATACACATTAACACTTGGTAATATTAATAAAATTTCATAGATTATTCCATTAAAAGGTTTCTTTTATATAGAAACATACAACGATGAATGAAATAAAAATGGAATAACATTGAAGGTTATATAGCACTTATTCGTAAATTGGAGATTTTTTTTTTTTTTGTTTTCTCATTTATAGTATTATTATTTGTTATGTCCAACGTTTTTTTTTATCTTTTTGTGTCATTTTTCCTTCTTATTTTGTATGTTATTAATTGTTTCTCTATATATCCCCTTCAGATCCATTATTTTCCATATTCTCCATTTTATTATATATTATAATTACTTGTTTCTCCTAATATCATCATTTCATATATTTTTCTTTCTTCTATTTCCTCTGCTTATGTAGTTTTTTTACATTTTTCATTAGATTTCTTCTTTATATCTGTCCCCCGTACGTATTTTTTTTCATATTGTTCGCCTTAGAAATCAGTATTATTCCTAAAATTTCTGTTCTTTATTTATATTTGTCCAAGAAGTACTCAAAATCTGTTCTGTTCATGGATGTTAGTATATTCAAACATTCTTTAGAATTACATTCAGAATAAACTAATAAGTCCACTTTATAGTATACGGTATTAATCTTATACTGTAAAAAACAATTCCATTCAACATTGTATTATACTATTTCGCCTGATTCTTCCATATCATTTATTTTTTTATCGAAATGCCTGGACTATAAATTTATTCATATATATATATGATGATTGTATTCTGCTGATTTAATCCAATGCTTAGTACTTCATTTAGATGGTTTATTTTGTTAAATTTTCCTAACACACTTTAAATTAAATCTTGATTTATTTCTGTATTCTTAAATATTTCAACAACATTTTCTAAAGAAAATATTTGAAATTAGAAACTGTTAAAGTTTTTAACTTGATTTAATGTTTCATTTACAATGTTATCCTAATCAGTAACTTTATTCATGGGAGAGATTATTTCTTTGTTTAATAATATTCATCTATTCTATAATACTACATTCATTTAATTTATTAATATTTGTTTTGATATTTTAAACAGCTTTTCTTATTAAATTTTTAATATTTGTATAATTAACATATTATTTGATTTACTCAATAATTCTTAGGTTATTATGGTGCTGATATGGCATATTATGCTTTTCTTGATTGATAGTTCTCATAGCTGATTTAGTCTCTTGGATTATATTTTAGACATTGGATTTTAATTTAATCTTGTTCAAGCATTTGAAATATGAGGAATCATCATATTCTACTTTAGCCGGGCTTGCTTCATGAAAAGGTATTTTTTTTTTTACTACATTGCATAACTTCTTATAAGTATTTTCCATTAATATATGGCTTTTTCCCAGGATTTCATTTCGATAAAAAACATTTTCCTCGTCAATTTTGATAAGAGTCTAATTTTATATTGTACAAAATTTTCATTTATTCAGAGCTTCTTAGTTAAAAATTAATATACACATGTTCTTTATTTCAAATTTTATTTTTCCTAGAGTAGTTTTGTTGGGCGCACAAAGGCTCAAATTACTATGTATATATTATTTAAGTGGGCTCATTTTTTTATTATAATATATATCGTCCTTTTTTTTAGCCACGATCTGAAATGTCAAATAATATGTAATTTCATTGAAGTAATACATTCTATCGCATAGTAATGTACTGGGAAAATGATATATCCTGAATAATTTATGAGATCCTGTAACAGGGAAAAATTGAAGATTCTGCTTTTTGTCACATTAGATGAGAGTGAGACATTATTGTTACGTATGAAAGAAATTTCCTTGATTTAGGTTATTTTGGTGTGTTATGGTTTTATACTTTACTGTATTTATTAGTTAGTTTTGCTTATTATAAAGAAAATATGAAACAGATTATTATGAATTATAGAAATCAATATGAAGTTTATCTGAAAATAATATAGAATATATACATGTACCATAATATTATGGAATTATTAATATTATTTGATTGTTTAATATAATTTAAATTTATAAATGTACATACATTTTTTCCTACATTTTGCATATGTATGTATTAAATACAGTTTTATGGAGTGGTTAAAGCGTATCTCAGAAGAGTTGAAATTATGTGATTACATGAATTCATAAATATAATAACTCCTATTATCCATTATATATTATACATGTAAAATTGCAATATGTCTAATGTTACATTATTTCATTTGTTTTCATTATAGCTGTTTTATATTAATAATAACAACACTTGAAATTATCAAATACGTTTTTTTATAATTAATTCCCTTTTACAATATATTTGTAATATTTTAAGCATAAGTTATTTTATTTATTATTATACATTCTTAATAATACAAGTTAATCTATATGTTTATAAAATAAAATAAACCCTACTACTTATAATCCATTGCATAAAGGAGAAGAATAACTAAGTGAAAACACTTATTACTGTTTAGAAGTGCAATATAAGATAACGTTATATAATCTTTATTTGTAATTTGAATTTATTTGATTTTTACAAGTTGTATGTATATTCCATCTGTACATTATATATAATTAAGTAAAAATAGTAAATAGAATTAATTTATATAAACGATATTTCATATTAAAGAATGTAACACTTTTGAAAAAATGTGTGCATGAAATATGGATAACTTATTATATTAATCTTATTTTATAAAGTAATAATAGAACTATAATACCTTTGAAGTAAGAAGGCATATTACGAATTTCTAAGATATTATTAGTTTTGATTCGCATACATACAGTTACTAAAGTTGAAAATTTTTTACAGTACGCTATAAATAACTAATTATTTTGTCTAATACAACATTAATTTTTATGCTTGTAAAAACAGTTATATACACTTTCATAAGAGTTTTAAAATGGAAAAGATTTTCCTAAGATAAATTTAAGGGTCAGACACGTTTAAATGTTTATAATGGTATTTCTAAATAAATGAATACCAGTGATATAATTTGTATGAATGAAAATTTTATAATTCGATGCCACATTTTCTATAAACTAGTAATACATATTAAATGCAACAGTGTTCTATATTAAGTAAATTTTTTTTTAATTCTGTGTTAAATTGGATACTTTATGAATTATTTGTGCTAAAAACATATATTTAGTGCAAATTTACAATATACCTTAACATATGTAACATATAACTGTTATAAATAAAATTGTTTTAATAGTTTATTATATATATATAACTTTTTAGGACGTATATTTGTAAATACACATTTATTCATACATTTGTGAGAAATAGTTATATATAAATACACTAAAAATTATGTGTACATATGGACTTACACTACATTCAGTAATGAGTTTAACATATTTTTTCCTAAGAATTGTATATTATACTTTTTTTTATGAGTTATATTTTTGGATTCTTCATCTATTGGAATAGTTATCACTTGGGGTATTTAGAAAAATATATTATATATTTTTATGTAAAGTATATATATACATTTTTATTTTATAGAGCAAACAAAAAAGATAAATAAAATGATTTGATTTGTGTAATTTTTTATTAAAGCATAGGGAAAACAGTTTTTTCATTAAGAAGAATATAGGTATGTATAATTAAATATGAAAATTGATAAAATATATTTAATGAAGCCGAATTTTAATCATGATTTAAATGAGGCACTATGCATATTTAGTGAAATTGTATTTTCTTTTTAGTTGTATATTATGTCTTATTTATTTGAAACTGTACAACATATAATTTTTCATTTATGTATATATTATATTTAAAGCACATTTAATTCTATTATTTTTTATCTGCATAATTACACCATGAATTTACCTTTTTTTCTATAATGTTTTTATATTCAGCACAAAAGCATTAGTCTGCTCAATCAGACATATATAAAAACAGACAATATTCATGTTAAATTTATAATTTAATTAACTAGTTATTTTTCATATTTTAAAATCTGAAAATAATGCAATACTATATTATGATAAAATATCATGTGGCGAATTATTATACAGAGCTTTCGCATAATTTACATATACAACATAATAGATTATTCTACTATAACTTAGTATATGAAGATTTTTTAACTTAGTTAAAAATAGTTATGTTCAAAAAACAAATTAATGTAGTATCATATATGTAATATAAAATTTTGACATTAAATAAATTTGGATAACAAAGTGGAAAAAAACAAACGCATATAGAGTAACAAAGAAAATGCCAGAACAAATGATATTTTATATTTTGTGCTCTTTCATATACTAATAAAACTTATATGAAATGCTATTCTGCATCATATTACCATAAATGTGGACACACATAAAAAAAATAGTATTTTTTGACACTATACGATTAATGAGAATATTAATAAAGAAAATATTGTTATAAATAGATGTATATAGTAGATGGAAATGCATTTTCTGCAATAATATAAAATAAAATAGAATAATATATAGAAAAATAATTTATATCAAATATATTAAATTATTATTAGAACATTTAATTACCACTGTACTATTATATAATGCCATATAGTGTATTACCATTTTACATTGAATATATATTTTTTAACATAAAAGTATCGTACTCAAAGAAAAATCCATATTGTTAGAGGAAGAAAAGCTTGAATCATATGCACAATACTTTTATCATATATTTACACATATATTGAATAATGATTTCGACAATATTATATTATGTATACTGATAAATTGTCATATTATATTTTTAATCTTGAATTTTATTCTGTTTAACTAGAATGTATGAATTATTTCATATTTTTGTCAAGATATTGTGAGAAATACTTTCCTTGTAATTTTCTTACAATTTTTCTTATAATTTTAGAACAGGATATTTTATTCAAATTCCATATTCATTCGTGTAATTAGTAGAGTCATATAGTATATTATATACACTATCTGTTGATGCACTACGGTTCATATCAGATAGTTCATATATATCCCATTCATCATCTTCATCATAGAACTCATTTATTTCTTTCTTTAGTTCACGCAATAAGTGTTTACCCAATGGATTAAACTGATTAATAACAAATAAACAAATTTATGTATTGAAAACATGATTTATTTTTAGGTCAATATATTTTATATATAATATAAAATATATTTTATAGTATGTAAATGTATATATATGTAATAGCATATATAACCATAAAAAAATGAATCAAAAGAAGGGATATTAGTAATCCTGCGAATATAGCATATACAATATGACGTCTCTTATCATCCATTAGGTAAGAAAATATCATCTGATATATACTATTACCACAATTTAAGTTTTCTACTTTTTCTTTAAACTTATTAGTATACAATATTATTTCTTCACATAAGTCGTCATTTCTATTAGATTTACAATAATGCTCATAATTACCACGTAATAATTTGAATTTTGATATACAATTTTTAGTATTGTCTTTGCATCCACCTTCATGTTCTATTTCATAGAGACAATTATAAATATCATACATGTGATCAACCTTTTTCATTTCGTTCTCACAAATATCTATTTCCCGATTTGTGCATACATCTTCTGTATAATCCTTATATATTTTTTTAAATGCATCATAAGCTCTTTTTGTAAGTTCATAATTACCTCCTGGATTCATAGTTTTTTTATATAACCAATAAAATAAGTGTTTACAGCCAATGATTTCTGCTTTTTTTTCATTTGTGCTACGTATTTCTCTAAAAAATAACATAGTTTTTTTGCATACATCTTCGTTAAATAAAGTCGCATCATTGGAGTTATGAGTTTTTACACTAGAACAACGACCTTTGTATTGATCATCCTTATCATTTGCACTCTTTCTGACAGTTTCCTCCCATTCATGAAATGAATCTATATATCCATACTAAGAAGAAAATATAACATAATAACACAGAAAAAATTATAAACTTTTGAGGGGGTTATAATAATATTTATGTAAAACCGCGTACACAAATATTACTATCATTTATATTAAAATTATTCAAACATACTTTATTTTTCTCCATGTCTTTTTAGATTATAGACTTATATATTAAAACGTATTAAAATTATAAAAAATTTTGAACATATAAGCATCAATTATTATTAGCAAAAACACATGGTAAGAAGAGGTATATTGATGCAACCTTTTCTAATTGTATATTTGATGTAAAAAAATATGACAAAAATGTTATGGAGGTTAATAAATATGGATAATTATGTGTTATATATAAAATATTTTCTTAACTATTTTAACGCAAAAATAAAAGACATTAATATATTATTTAGAAAAAATAAATATTATTACTTCTCAAAATATAATATTTTGAGTATCACACTATATATACGAATTTTATAATGTTATTAATAATATTAAATATAATAAACAAATATAATGCTATGATTTGCTATTAATCAGAATATATATATATGTATATGATAATATTTTTTCCCTATGATAATAATCTTTATAATAATATATTTATGCTAATTTTCAAAATACTATATATTTGAATAAATAAGATAGCGGCTTATGTATTTATTTAATTCGCTATTTGTATATAAAAAACAGTAGATGTTTTTCACAATAGATTATCTTAATACACATGTAACATATCTAATAATAATATGGACACAGATTATAAACATAACACTTTATAATGCAATTTAGACTAATATTATGCACATGAAGTAATTAAATTACATGTGCATCGTGGTAGATACGTTGTATAATAAGAGAATGATTCACAAAAACTGAGATTGTAAGTTTTCCAAATGGAATGAAATGTAAAAATAATTGTATTCTTATAAATTATGTAATATACGGATTTAGTTTATATATTTTTGATATTTTTTCATTTAATATATATCAAGCAATATATTGAATTAATGAGTCGCCTAACATGCATAAAATGTTAATTTTAGTATTATTAATTGATTTTATAAGCTATTATTCAAATAAAATAAATTTTTACTTAATATTATTAATTTTTTTTTTTTCTTGTATCAATAAAAAATATGGTTTCTCATTATGGTAAATGAAACTAAATGAATATGTAATATATTAACCATTACAATGTATATTATTACGCAAAATTGGGGGGATGAATAAATATGAAAATTTTATCCACTTTTATATTATTATATAAGAACATTATTTCAATTATTCTCATTTTTATTGAATTTTCCCTTAGCGCACAAGACAGCATAATATGTTTGAATATCTTATAAAAATATCACCTTGCAAATAACACTAATTTAATGTACATCATGCATTTAAGATCTATTAAATATAAATTTTTCTGGATAAACAACATATTTACTATATATTAAAAAAAAATAATTAAGTTGTTGTAGATAAACTGATTTGAACTAAGTTTTCATTCACGTAAATTTATATAAATTAAAAATTATAATTTACAATTAAAACAATTTTCATCAACATATATGAAATATTCTACTTATTGTTGATTTTTTTTTTTTTTTTTTAATTCAGCTTTTTTATAATTTTTCATTAATATTTATTTTATATAAATAAGAGCATATTAATAAAAAACGTTTCCTATAATTTTAATTTATATTATGAATTTTTTTAATAAAATATACTTTAAAAAAAATTTAATATATTTACTGTAACGTTAATAGAAATGCACATGCATAATAAGAATATGTATTTATATAGGAAATCCTATTTTCCTTTACGACATGCAATTAATAGGACAAAATAATAAATTTATACAAATTACAAGTAAAATATATTTTATTTAAAAATTTAATACTAATATAAATATTAAGAGGAAAAATAAATCTAATGATACTTATAAAATGAAAATTATTATGTTTGTATAAACAGAAAATATTTATAACTGGAAAATAACAAAGCCCTTTGCTGTAATTTTCAGGTATTAAATAATATTTTTGTCAGAACAGATTTTAAAAAATTCTGCAATACTTTTTTCATGATTATAATTATAATTGCGCTTTTACATACTTAGTGTTATTTAACATATACGATAAAATAGCCAACAGTACCTTTTATTCATGTGTCTATTTATTTATGTATACCTATACAAAAATTAATAAAAATTTAGTGTCCTGTTCATAGGTAATTTTTTTTTTAGTTGTTAAATTTTTGCTATACATGTTAATATAATAATATATAAAAAAAGGTAGATATATCAAATAATTATATTAATATTTTAATCTATAAGTTTATGGTAAATATATTTTATATAACAACGAATTTAATGGATGAATTATAGATAAAATTTCGATGCGATTACTTATAGAATTCTTGAAATTTTTTTCATAAAACTAGATTAAGAATTGAAATTGGGCCAAAAGAAAAAAAAACAATGAATATATTATTAGATGCCTATTCCGTATAAATTCTACTTCTCTTATTATATAATGAGACATAACTTTTATGTATTTTATTTTTGTGATATCCGAGTAATATATTTTAATATGATATTTTCTTAAAAGTTTTTGATGTTATTCGACATTAAGGGGGTATCCTTAAAATAATGTTATAAGTACATAATAATTTTGGAACATAGAATTACATTATATTTCATATTATGACTATAATTCATATTTTCATTATATATTAAAATTCATCTTCATATGTCCTCAGACGAACAATGTTAATTAAATTACAAATCTTGACTATATTTTACTTAATATTACGTTAGGGAGTTGTTATGAAAGTTTCGTCGCTTATTTAGAATAAGACTTTTTATATATATACTGTTGTTCATTAATTACAACTGAGTAGTTAAAAAATATGATATAATTTTACATATTCTCTTATTTCTCATCGTTAGAGGAATTGGCCAAAGTCCCAATTCACAAATTTCTATGAAGCAACGAGGTTCTTATTTATGAACAGACTAAAACTATTTTATTAATGTATGTAATAAATGGTATGTAAAATGAATTTATTTTAAGTTTTATTCATATTTTAGTTTATCTAATGATTTATAAACAAAAAGAAACAATATAATGTGAAGCAGAAGTAGAAGGATTTTTTACCATGAGTTGTTTTTTCTTTTTGTTCATATCGAAAGTGGAATGACATTAGCAGAGGACATACTGTTAAATGGTCCTCCAAAATGCTTTCATGTTACATTATTTTCCTTAATTATTGTCGTTCTGGTTGAACTGTATATTATACTCTTAGATTCATAGCACTAAGGGGGTGCAGTAAAATATTCCAAAAATAGTTTTGAAAGCTTTATTATTATATAAGAAATTGTAGAAGTATTTTTAAGATTGAAAATGGTGGTGTTTAGATATAATAATACCTTACATAAATATATTCACTAATAGTGTTATGACAACTTGTCATATTCAGAATGTATTTAGTTGTCATAATATAATAATTATTTCCAAGAAAATGCATACATTACCATGTTAATATGAAGACATGTATTATAGTAGTTAAGATTTTTGGATCAACAGTGAATGTATTATTATTTATTACCACATTACAAAATCAGGAAATGTTACGTTCGAAGAGTATATAAATATTATACTTGATTCATTAATTTTTGTAATTGTGAAATTTATAGTGTAATTCAAAGGTCTATCATATTCAACAGGATCTGCTTTGTTACATATATACTTCTTTTTATTTTCACTGCATTCTTCTTATTTATTCAGATGCTAAATAAAAATATTTACATTACGTTATCAACAGACAAAGAATGTATAAATATTTTAACAATTTAAAGTGCGTCTTTTAAAAGTGGCATGTAAAATAGACAAAGTTTTATATGTTATGTAAAGAACAAAATGTGATTGTATATACAAATAAATATATCTAATTATTCGTATATTGATACTCACTGAAATATATTTTTAGTGCATGAAATTTCAATACAATATTTGATAAATCATTTATCCAAATAAATTGAATAAATTTATATAAATTCCATGTAAAGAATATTGTGCACGAAATGCATAAAATACAAAAGGTGAAAGGATAATATACATATTGTCTATTATAATATTTATATAAATCTCAACTAATATCATTAATATATAAGCGTCCAAATTTATTAATAGATTAAAAAATGAATATGTGCGCATTATGTTATTTTTATATAGATTTTTTATATAAACTATAATTAGTAACATAGTTATATATATTATAAATGATATTAAAGAATTTGTGTACTAAATACTTGTATAACCATTAAATACTTTAAACATTCTTAAAAAATAGAAAAATATGTAGTAATTTTTGCGTAAAACATAATGACCATTGATATTCCCTATAAGATATGTTATTTGTTTAATGTAAGCAAAATATCCGTTAAATGAATCTATGCACAATTTTTTAAATTGGTATAAACATGTTATTTTTTGCTTTATTTATGTTTATGCTTATGTATATTTTTTATATAATGGAAACGTAAAAATGTAAACCTGTATATTTATACTTAAAAGTAGCTTCAATTACCTATAACTAAAAACGCACATATTTTATTGAACAATTGCTTGTAAATTTGTGCTACAAATCACATCACTTTTATGTTAAATTTTTTTATGCCAATTGTGTACATGTGAAGAAAATATTAAAAAATTTTTGTTTATTTAATTTATATTATATCGTTCGTATTTTTAATACATTTATAGTGTTATATTCTTTTATTACTAATAAATAAAAAAATGAATATATGTATGATTAATTTTATTGTCTACAATTCATATAAATTGGGATATTTGTTGGATAAGAATAATTTGTAATTACACATTAAAACATTTTTAAGCATAAAATTTAATATTAGTTGTAAAGGTGCATAATTGGACATGTGATGTGTATACCTTAATTACAGTATTTAAATAAATATAATTCACAATGAAGCTTCTGTATATTGTAACGTTTTGGTGGATTATGAATGCTACAATTATATTAAGCGTTATTATTTTTCTGATCATGGCAAACTTCTGAAGATATTAAGCTATATGGGGGTTCAAAATAAAGATCAACAGGAAGAAGACATCAAATTAAATATGTATTTGAATTATAATACATTTTAGTAATAATGTACATCTAATGTTAAATAAAATTTATGCATTAAACGATCTAAGGTATTAAAATATTACAAATATAAAATTTTATATAGCTCATTATGCTAAGATATAGAAGATTAATCTGGAAATTTCACTATAACATCACTGTTATATTTACATTTATGAAGAACAAAACTATATAACATCCGTAATACGAAGAATATATTTATAATTTTTTTTTTTTTTTATAAAGTATAATAATTTATTTTTAATTTTTAATCTATATAAAATACATTAAAATGTATTCCCCTTATGTTATATTCGACAACTAAATGTATTGAATTTTAACTGTAATTGGCACATGAATTAGTTTATTCCTTTTTATAGACAACATAATAAAAAAAAAAAGAGTAAGAATTAAACAGAACACACATATAATGTGTATGAAGCATTTATCACAAAGCACATTTTATTAACAAATTATAATAGGTGAAAAAATATTTACATATAAAACAAATCAGATGATTTATACATACAATAAAATCATCTAAAATGAATTGCTTGTATTCTAAAACACATATAAAAAATTATATTATAGTAATCATATGAATGAATTGCAAATATAGATAAATAATTTATTTTTTCATATGTAAATTGTAAATTTTATTATTACCAGATTGCTATAAAATTAAAGGAAAACAATTTATACAACCACTTTGTTTCTTAAATAACTGGATTGCGTTTTTTATGCAATTTTTTTTTTTTTTTCATTTTAAAATACCTTTTTATATTTCTTGAATCGTCAATGTATAGCTAGGGTGTTCCTAGAACATATTTGATTTTTACATAGTATCCCCTATTTTCCCTTTTTGTTATACATGTTATTATATAAAGTTATCATTATAGTATAATTATTTCAGAAATGAGAATTTTGTTTAAAATACTATTAAACTTATTTTTCAATTTTTAGATATTTTATAATTATTTACTGTTCTTGGACTGATAAATTATATTAATTCTTTTTCTTTCCAAACCCGATTTAAAATCTTTATTATATCTAATGCTTTTATTACCATGTGTATTTTTCCTTTTTACAACTTTATTACGCTCATTACAGAAAAACCGTTTTATTTTAGAAATCTACATGTACGAAATAAATTAATAGAAAAAATAGCTCATATAAATAGTTGTGATTATTATGTTCAATTAGATCAAATATATTTTAAAAAATGTTTATTATTCTTTTATAATGATTTTTATATTACATTAAATAGCATAAAAATAATTGTTATTAAAAGTGTAAAACAAACATAAAAAATATAACTTATTGGTGATCTAAAAGTTAAAAGTTTTTCTGCGCTTAATGAATACTTGCACGCAGATATAGCATCACCCCATTTACAACAATTTCCAAAAAAACAATTACTTAATTTACATAATTCTTGATATATAATATTTATATTTTTATTCCATAAATCCATATCGTTTTTTGTTGATTCTTTTTTTGTATAGTCATTTTTTTTTTTCTCAATCCATGCAATTAAATAAGCGCACTCTTCAGCATTATACTCCTCTATAAAATATACATTATTATACAAAAAGCCATAAAATTTATAAAGATCACTAGTTCTGTTCATATGAATGCCAGGTACTGTGCATGAACGACTACAACTATTGTTTTCTAGTAGACTGTCTAATTCTTCAAATGAATTTTGTTTGCTGTCACCTTTATTTTTACATTTGTCCTAAAAAAATGTAAAATAAAGGAATACTATGAAAATATAACATTTAAAAAAGTAATTAGTACACAAAAAATATAAGTAAAAATGTTATGATTAATTTACACATGAAAGGGTAAAACATATTATCATTTAGATCTTGTTACGATTATATATATAGTTATGTAGGTGCTTTAATATTTTAATTTAAACATACTTTAATTGCTATCAATATTTGATCTGCTGACATGATTATTTATTATACAACTATTAGCATTTGCTTATTACACAATTTCACTTATTATTGTAAAAAACATATTAGTATATTAAGTATTGACATATTTTGTTACAAATCCATGTTTATAAATAATTTATATAACAGAATATATAAAAAAAATAAATGTAATATAAATAATCTATCTTTATTCATCACCTGTTGTACTCTTGCAATAGTTACACTTTTGATATATTATTAGATATATTTTATAATATCTTAAATATTTAATAATATTATAATATTTTTGTCATAATATAATAATATTAAAATATAATTAGTCATTTATATTATTCAAAAGTATAATATATTTAATCTTTTGTTACCTTATATATATATACTTTTTTTTCAGCAATATACGAACCAAAACTAGATTTGTTCACGGGATTAGGATACAAGGTTTACCTATTATTTTGTGTATATTTCATTGCATATATCATTAATTACAACTGGATTTAATTATGATTATGGTTATAATTTTCACGCATTATATTTCAATATTATGAACTATATACATTAATTATATAACATTCCCTAGCAATTAACATGAGGTAGGACACAGTATAAACAAAAGTTAAACATCTTTATATATAATCATTTGTTTTTACATATACTTATATTCTAAATCTATTTATTTTATAATAGATGAATATTGATGAAGACTTTTGACAAAATTATTTCTCTCTATTTATAATAAGAATATGAAATATATTATTATAATTTTTATAAGAGCATCAGCTATTGTCTTATATCTAATGCTTTACTATTGCATATAATAATATATGTGCCTTATATAATAACGCGTTCCATAAATCATAAATGCTAAACTGTTTTGTAATGTATATATATTTTTTTATATTGACATATAGAAGAATAAACAATTTATTATATATTTTACTACATATATTATTTTTATGAGTATGTTAACTAAAATTATGTTTTCTGAGTGTTGTTAATCTTACATATCTTCAGTAAATTAAAATGACACATAAAATGCTTATTTCAGTATATATTGAATGATGTATTTTAAAGAATGAATATTTTTATTTTATTTTAGATTTGAAACATATAGAATACTATTTTATTTTGAATTATATCAGCAAAAACTATGTAAAAAAATATATGAGCACCTTAAGTCATAACAATTACAGTAGTATTTATTTGGGTGTAGTGAACATAATATCTTTTTTCAAGAATAATTTTTTAACTAAAATTTTTTTTTAATTTTTTAGATACATTATAAAATTTTTAATTTGGCTCATGTAAATATTGTAAAAATTAAATATGGTTAAATTTTTTAATAACATTTAGAGTATAATGTTTTTATTACATGGGTATAATTCCACAGAATTATTTTCATCATAATTATTAATATTTGAGATTCCATCACAACAACGCATTACGCGAATAGATTCATCACCACAATTTGCAAGATTAGTATGTATTTCGTTAGAACATGCACTGTATAAATTTATTCTATATTCACTTTATCCATAATTATGTACAGGGGTGTCCAATAACTTATTATCTTCTAGCGCATTACTATTTCTGTTATTAGTGATTCTATGAACGCCATTTTTGTTCTAATGTTTTTTAACATTACGATCTTTGTCATGCATAGCTACATAATTTAATTTTTCTGTATCAAGGTTTTGATGTTCATGTTCTTGATTTCTAAAACATTCTTAAGAATCAACTTCACAATAAAGCGTATTATATGGAAAAGGAAATTAGTCTAAATAACGCAATTGTAAGTTACAACTTGTATTATAATATTGTGCAATGCTTGGATGCTAAGATTTTGACCCCTAGTTCGTATTCGTCCCTATTTTGGAAACATAACTTTAAGCTAGATAAAACATCTGTTAATGCCACTACCAGTATCGGTGCATTATGTTGTGGTTAGCTGTCGTTTCAGATACTTTGTCTTTAACATCAGGAATACATGAAATTATTTATACAATTAATGTGTACCTGTAAATTTTTGCTCACCTGTCCTTATTATTTTCCATCATTTCAACACTGAATCATATCTTTGGTTTCTTATCTTTTGTATTTTAGATACCTTTGCAGATGATACGTAATATATTTTATTCTAATCTGTAGTTTCTAATGTATTTTTACATCGCTTACCTTCTTTATTGGAATCTTTTGATTTTCATGTTATTTCAACAATATTTTTTTCATAAAATACACTATTTTTATGTCATTTAAGAATATTATAGCATTTTTTTAATAAAATTATTTATTATTTACTATGCACTTGAAGCATTTGTAGTACAAATTTTTTCAAAACAAGCCGTTATATCTCCTTTTATTTTTTTTACATATTTATATAATTCATTTCCTTTTATTTGGAGTTTTTTACAGATCTTTGCATGAAATTTATTAATGTTACGTTCAAATTTATCTAAATTTATTAAGAAATTTTCATTAAACTTTTGAATCTTACAATATAGGTCTCCAAGAACTCTAGTAATAATTGTAGTATCCGATAAAAATCCATCCATTTTTATTGTAGGTGTTTTTTTTTTTTTTTCTTTATACAAATAATTTGTGAAAATAGGTATTGTATATGTCTATAGATATATGTAAAGGGGAATTTAAATTTTTCGTATCATAGTATTATATTAAAAATTTTGGGAGAAGTATAAGCAATAGTATTCTTAAAAGACATTTATGAATGTGATTTTTCGTGGCGAATATGTTAACATTTTGATCTAGAAGCATTTTCACATACAATAGCTTACATGGTTAAGTGTAAAATAATTGACATCATAAGAATTATTTTAAGGAATTTGAAATATTTTTATGCACTAAAGTAATATAAATTACAATATATTCAAATATAAGGTTTACAAATTAAATGGTGATAAAAAATAATTAATAATATAGGTTTTATATAGAGTGCACATAAATAAAATAACGAACGCTGAAATGTTTCATTTAGATGACATTAATCAATGAAATAAGATTTGTTCTGTAAATTGCTATTTGTGTATACGTCTTCATATTTATTTTATTATAACATTATCACATTGTATATATCTAATGTTATATTTATTGATATTCATACCTCCTTTATTTTTTGTACATGGTGAACTATATTTCATATAAATAATGTTATCAGTAAAAATATATGCAGGTAGATTTGGGTTTCAAAAATAATTTTGAGGGCTTATGCATTTATTTTTTTTTATTATTATTCTGATGAATATTTAACTTTGTAATGTTTTATATAATGACAAAGAATACATAATATCTGAATTGTGCAATAGACTGTTTTATTATTGTAAAGAGGATTTATGTTTAACATTTCTACATAATATTCAAAGCAAATACAATCGTTATGACATAAATATTAACTATTTATGTTTTTATTATGTATATAAATTTTTTTTATTTATGTGTTATAAAATAGATTAAGAGTATACATATAAACATAACACATTTACAAGTATATATATAAAATTAAATATATATGTAATTTTATGTTTATAAAAAAAAATATTCTTTTTTACACATTATCTTTTATGTTAGTGTGTATTAACCCTTATCAATTTAATTTTATTTTATTATATTTTTGTTAATTGAAAGTCAATAATAATATTGTATGATTATAAAATTTCGATATGATTATACAAGACAAAATATTTTATAGTTAGAAAATCCTTTGAAATCGACCGTTTATTATTTATATTTGTAGAATTAAATTTTATTTCAATCCAGTTATTTTAGTACTGTTTCTTTGATTTTATCATCAGTATAATTATTTCTATTCCCCTTTGCTTTTATATGATATATAATGAGAATTTTATATTTAATAACTTACTCAAATGAAAGTTGTTGTTTTAAAATTTTTTGGTTAACTTTGTTGAAGATTATTAATAATTCCTGAAATATTTACTGTTAATTTATCGTCAACTTAATATGTTATATTGTTAATAAGTCACTATTTTGGTTTTTTCGTATATTCATTACATATTTGCCTATGTATATATATTTATTATATTTTTATCACACTTGTGTGGCGCACTTAAGCCATTTTCATTGTTCGCCTAATACTAAAATTTATTCTTCATTTTTATAGGTTCCTTTTTAAGAAATTTCTATATACTGAGAGTTATATATATAAATACATATTTTAAGATGTTGTAATCTTTATACACATTACATAAATTTTTATTTTTTTTCACTACTTTTAATTAAAAATGTACTTTTTACCATTTTCAAAGTAGTATATACTTATTTTAAAAAGTGAATTCCTATTATAAACATGTTTAATTAATACACCACACGATGAGATAAAAAATATTTTAATACTCTTTGTAATATAGTTAAAACATTAATACATTCCTACAAAATTTATTTCATATAACTCACAACATCTAAAATAATTTCATATATTGTACTAGACACTTTTTCAAAATGTTTTGATTATCATAATATAATTTTCGCAGACAACATGGAAGAAATATTCTTATCTTCAAAAAAGATGATGTGAAATTATATTTTTGTGCTGTATGAACGATATATTAGAGGAAAGGCATAATTCCATGAAATGTGGATTGAATTCCTCATTCATACCTATTATAATAAATTCCTAAGTAAATTTTCATTGTTATAAGAACTATAAGAATAATATATGTGTTAATATACGATTATAAAAAAAGAAACAGATGTTGTTGCCGTAAGATGATTCAAAAAAGAAAACTAATGAGCGCCAAGGGTGTGTGTGTTAAGGAATGTTTGAATAATATAATGCAACTACACAGTGAGGAAAATTTTTTATTCATATATAAGTAGAATAAGTGAGCTTTATATTATGTAGGTAAAGAACATAACTGAAATGAAATAACCACTCGTTTTATTTAAATAC